TGTGAAGCGCTTATAGAGAAGGAAATGGCGGTGACTGCGAGTGCAAGGTTCGTGTTCGTTTCAAATATATTTCAGAGTACAGCCGCGCGGCTACACCGTTAAAATATCAGAATATATTCAAAGCGTATAGCCGCACGGCTATTCCTTTAAAATAATCTATACTCTTTAAATATACAATTTTGTCATGTTATTTTAGGGTTTAGGGCTAAAATACCACTTTAGATAATTAGGATAGAGTTATTTCTTTAATTATTTTATTTATACCAGTGATATTGATGAATGAGAATTTAAATTCTTTCTGATACCTCTCATTCTAATGATTTCCAACTATTAGTCCATTAAGCAAGAATAAAAAATATATTTTATTTATGAGAAATAATACAGGTTAAATTCATAAATACAATAACAAAAAATAGGGATCCACCAACATTTTGGGGATAAAAGAATCTTGAATTTCAAAGTATAAAATTGCTTGTGTAAGAATTTATTTTCTAAAATGTATCCATTGTAATTATGAACTAAAGCCCAATGACAACCTTTTTCTCATTGCACTTGATTAAAATATGAATAAAAAATTAAAATTAAACACAATCTCTTCCCCTCTATCCAGATTTCTACTCCCCCAAACTTATTTTTTGGTTGGTTTTTTTATTTGATTTTATTTGATTGTTATTTTAAAGATATAATTTTTATTCATTTTTTGGTTTTAATGTAAAAATATCATTTTGTCCTTGCATTTAACAATAAAAATGAACAAAATTGACATTCGCTTCTCTGTCTCTTCATTTCGCTCGCACACCACATTCCTCTGCGAGAGCAAGCTTCGTCTGTCTTCATTTGGAAAAAAAATGGACACTCAGACCAGCCCAGGCCGCCTAGAACCGCCTAGGCCGCCTAGGTGCCGCTTAGAACCGCCTAGGCCGCCTAGGTGCCGCCTAGAATCGCCCAGGAAGTCTAAACGCCGCCTAACTCCCTTATAGCATCAGAGTTGTTATCTTAGTGAAGATTTCAATAGCTGAATGACATTTGATGGTTTTCATAGAGAGAGTCCAATCCAATCAACGCAACAACCGAAACGAAAGAAAAAATTTCGAAGCTTCAGTTGAGAGAGAGACAGAGAGAGAGGCTCGAGACTGAGTCTTTGAAGCTTGGAAGCGCTTATAGAGAAGGAAATGGCTGTGACTGCGAGTGCAAGGTTCGTGTTCGTTTCAAATATATTTCAGAGTACAGCCGCGCGGCTACACCGTTAAAATATCAGAATATATTCAAAGCGTATAGCCGCACGGCTATTCCTTTAAAATAATCTATACTCTTTAAATATACAATTTTGTCATGTTATTTTAGGGTTTAGGGCTAAAATACCACTTTAGATAATTAGGATAGAGTTATTTCTTTAATTATTTTATTTATACCAGTGATATTGATGAATGAGAATTTAAATTCTTTCTGATACCTCTCATTCTAATGATTTCCAACTATTAGTCCATTAAGCAAGAATAAAAAATATATTTTATTTATGAGAAATAATACAGGTTAAATTCATAAATACAATAACAAAAAATAGGGATCCACCAACATTTTGGGGATAAAAGAATCTTGAATTTCAAAGTATAAAATTGCTTGTGTAAGAATTTATTTTCTAAAATGTATCCATTGTAATTATGAACTAAAGCCCAATGACAACCTTTTTCTCATTGCACTTGATTAAAATATGAATAAAAAATTAAAATTAAACACAATCTCTTCCCCTCTATCCAGATTTCTACTCCCCCAAACTTATTTTTTGGTTGGTTTTTTTATTTGATTTTATTTGATTGTTATTTTAAAGATATAATTTTTATTCATTTTTTGGTTTTAATGTAAAAATATCATTTTGTCCTTGCATTTAACAATAAAAATGAACAAAATTGACAGTAGGACCATTTGTCCTAACGAAAGTGAAGTTAAAGGACCACAGGAACGATTTTGGAAATTGAGAGACTCAAATACAAATCGAGTCTAAGTTCAGGGACTAATAAAACGATTAACCCATCAAAATTAATTCAAATACTCAAATACTAATTATTCATTAAAGGAATAATAATTAATATAATTAAATAAGGCTAAGATATTACTTAATTGCAAATATTAAACTAAACAACTAATTTTGTATAATAAAAAATTCCACAAAATAATTTAAAATAATTAATTACTATTTATTAAGAAATTTATGAAATTAATAAAATATTTAAATACTAAAGAAAGAATAATTAAAACATAATTACTAATTAAAGTAACAAAAGGCTATAACTAATTTTGTGCAAGTATAACCAAGCGGCTATGCATTTAAAATATTAGAATATATTTAACCAGTATAGCCAAACGGCTATACTCTTTATATATTAATATATTTTAACAGTTTCACCTAGCGGCTATATGTTTAAAATATTCGAATATATTTAACCAGTATAGTCACTCTTCTATACTCTTTTATAGGTATAGATGGCTAGACCTTTAAAATATTTAACAAGTATAGCAGCTCGGTTATACGCTTTATATATTAACATATGTTAAAGGTATAGCCGGTCGGCTATACATTTAAAATTTTC